AGGAATGAGCCCTCTCAATCCTCATCAGGTTCCTGCTCTACCCCACACATAAGCGTATGAGGTTTCTGGTGGGGAGATGGTCAAATTATCAATCCAGATCACAGGAGAAACCTTGTTAGATAGAGGTTTCCCAGTTAATGTATCTTTGTACTGAGTGAGTGCCAGATGTTTAAAAGAGAATGTACCTGTATTGGTAAATCCCTCAGGGCTCTCAAGATGGGCTTTATCTTCATCTCATTTTCCATCTCAGGAAGGTGAGCCTGTACAGTGTGTGGTGTCATCAAAGCCACTGGGAACCACCTGAGTTTATCAGAGGGAGGTCTCCAGTGTCTGCCAGCAATCCAGGTGAGTAATATGGTGAGGGCTTAAGGTGTGAAGAAACCCTACATGTACTAACAAGGGACTGCAGTCTGTATGGCTCAGTTCTTATGCCTGGACATCCCTGGATGCGTGGCTAGGTTTGAGGGCTTATTTCAGTTGCATTTTCTGGGAGAAGATTTACTTGATCCTACGATTAATGTCAGTTCAGATGAGGTAGCTACATAGGAAGAAGTGAGCTGGTGACACATCTCGTCCACTCCTATGTGGGATCTCCAGTGATGACTACATGTTCTGGGCTCACCTCTGCTAAGATGTGGGTTCCCTAAGTATACCTGACATTCATCTCACCTATCCTTCAGATTTTTCCTTTCCCTCAAATCTTATCAACCCCCAGACTCTCAGCTCCTGCCTGAGATAGTTTTAAGTAAGCAATCCACTTAATGTTCCTGAGCTATGACCGCAGGGCATCCATAGTCTGTATAGCACATTTTCCCTTGACTTTAGACATACTTCACAAAGGAGGTCTGCACTGAATCCTGCTCTCTAGAGCTTTAAGGATCTCAGGGATGTGTGGAATGTGACCAGAACTGGAGACCTTGTTAGTTAACCTCATGGCTTCCAGGATCTGGCAAGTTCTAGTAAGAAGTGCAGAGTATGACTGAAGGAAACTCCAGCCCATAGCACAGTCATAGGTCCCAAAAGTCTTCCCTGAACTTTTCTCCGTAACAGTTCTCTGCAATGTTGTCAGCCTTAACTCCCTGTCTTATTTCCAGGCATTAGTCTAAAGAGTTGAAAGACCTGTTAACAGCTTGACTCAAGTCAGAGGGAGAATCAGGTGCGTCAGTTCGAAGGTGAGACCTGAGGGAGTCCCATCAGCCCAAGACAAGAGACTCAGTACCTCCCCGTCCTCCTGTCAGCAGTGAGAAAACGTAGGCACTTTTAGCGGATTCCCTCTCTTCATCTCCTCTTCCCTCTTTGTCATAAAACACAGAGGCTTGCCTTAAGGAATGCAGACATGGGGGAATCATGGAACAACTTCCTCCTTTCCACATTTATCCGGTGAGGATGAGGCTGGTCTCATGTGCTAGGAAAGTCAGTCTGTAGTGATTTGAGCTACTTTTTGTACTTTCTCGGGACCTGGTATAAGGAGGTGGGAGGGACCTTCACTGCCTTGGTTGTATCTCAGAAATACAGATTTTCTGGTTATTTGCCTCAGGCAAAAAGACTTGCCACTCTACTGGAGAAGCTGTATCTTGTCCTCTTTCAGGCTTTTAGGAGTGTATGAAGCACCATATTCCTTTGGCCTTAGAGTACCACCCCAAGCAAACTCCTGTAAACAAGCTTTTTTGAGAGCTGCCACAGGGACAGATTTAGAGTCCACTCACATTTTTCCTTTCTTTCTCAGGCTTGTGTGTCTTCAATCTTGTAATCTCAACAGTGTCCTGACTGTTGTTACCAAGGAAGCTCAAGATGAATCCTACTGAGAACAGCCAGAGCCTCTTCAACCTTCCAGCCAGCCCTCAGGCCCAGAGGGAGGAAAGAGGCCTGGAGAGTGCACAGTTCCCCATAGCTGAGGGGAACCAGGTGGCTGCCACTGCCAGCACCTCAGGGGAAGTGTCTGGTGGAGGAACACTCAGTTCTCCTCAGAGTGCTGAGAGAGCCTCCTCTCCTCCTGCTGCCATGGGAGGGGAATCATCTGGTGAGGCCTCTGGCAACCAAGCAGGAGAGGTGGCTGAGCCTGAGTACCCCTCGCAAGGTGTACTAAATGAAAAGATAGTTGATTTGGTGAGATTCCTGCTCATAAAGTTTCGAAGGATGGAGCTAGCCACCAAGTCAGAAATGATGACTAGGGCCATGAGGGATTATGAGGAATACTATGCTGTGATCTTTAGTAAGGCCTCTGAGTGTATGAGGTTGATCTTTGGTATTGAGATGATGGAAGTGGACCCATTTGTCCACTCGTATTTCCTTTACCCTGCCCTGGGAATCACCTATGACGGGATGCTGCACGGGGTTGTAGGTGTACCCAAGACAGGCCTGGTTATAATTGTCCTATGCATCATCTTCATAGAGGACAATTGTGTCAGTGAGGAGGTGTTCTGGGATGTGTTGAATAGCCTAGGGCTGTATGCTGGCATGGATCATTTCATATTTGGGGAGCCCAGGAGTCTCATCACAGAGGATTTTGTGCAGGAAGGGTATGTGGAGTACAGGCAGGTGCCCAACAGCTGTCCTCCTCGCTATGAGTTCCTGTGGGGCCCGAGGGCCTATGCAGAAACCACCAAGATGAAAGTCTTGGAATTTTATGCCAGCATTGTTAAGCAGGATCCTAGATCCTACCCTGAGAAGTATGCAGAGGCTTTGAGGGAGCAGCAAGAGCGGGCCTAGGCCAGAGAAGCCCAGCAGCTAATAGACACTGCTGCTCTGACCACTGCAAGTTCTACTGTGCTTGCAGTTTCCAGTCCCCATTAGGTCAGGCAGAGTAGTGAAGTAAGTAGTCACTGCTGGGAAAAAGAGTGTCAACCATTCCTTGTTTTTTTTTTTTTTTTTTTTTTTTTTTTTTTTTTTTTTTTTCTTACTATTCTGTTTGAGTGATTTGAGGAGGCTCATTATTTTAAGATTTTTCTACTTTTATTACAAGGTTCATTGGTTTGAGATTTTTAAGGATACAAAAATGCATCTATTGTTGATCCAGGTTAGGAGAATTTTGTTTTCTTGAAAACAAACAGTGTTTTTGAATTTATAACATATTACAAGATGTGAGAGTGTTAAACTTGCAATTTCCTGGGCAATGGAAAAGAAATTCGCATCAAAATAAAGAACATAATAAAATTCGTTTTTGACTGTGTTACTATGTTTATTCCCGAATTCTGGTTAACTAATTAAAATTAAAGCTTAAGTAAGCTAAAAAGAATCTCTTCCTAAAACCTTCACTGAGTACCCAATCATTGCAAAGTTCTGTGATAGCAGTGAGATGTGGGAGATGCCAGATCCCTCTCTACCTGTGGATAATTGGTACTTAGAAGAAGCCAGATCCAATCTTTCCTGTAAATGGGGTGAGAACAGGAGCCACAGCCCTGTGGGGAAAGACAGAAGTCCTTTTTGACCATAAGCCCCAGTACAGAAGTGCTGCACAGGGCTCTTTGGGGTGAAAAGTCCAGTGAACCTTAAACCAAGGAAGCTTGGGAGGCTGAGAGAATTGATTATAATTTAAACTGCAAAGTAGCCAAGGCCAGGCCCTCACATGGTGTGATTGATTTAGGGATGAAAGACGGGGAGACTCCTCTGAGCAGTCCCTCTTGTCAGTGAACTTCCGTAGAGAGGAATCAGCCTGGGATTGTCACTCAGTACTTAAACACTTTCATGTCATATGCAATCAGAATGATTGTAGCCCTGTAACCTCAGCACATAAAACTAAAATATTAAGAGAAGAATCCAGGCCTGGGACAGGAATATGCGTTACAACTGAATACGTCTCATGCACTCCGTGTTTTACTGCTATCCTTTACAGGAGGTTCCTAACATTTGAGAATCACGGGAAAGTGAGGCCTAAAACTTCTAGACATGTTCTCTTTTGTCTCCTTGGTCAGAGGATACTGGACTGTCTGTTAAAAATTACTTTAAATATTTCTTACGTATTTCAGTGATTTGTCTGCGTTTAAGTAAGTGGGGTATATGTGTACCTGGTGCCTAGGGAGACCAGAATTAGGTGCCAGATCCTTAGGAACTAGAATTAGAATGTCAGCCTGTGAGTGCTGAAAACAAAAGTCAGGTGCACTGAAAGAGCAGGAAGTGCTCTGAATTAGCTGAGCTCTCCAGCCCCACATGAATTTAAATTGAAAAAAAAAAAAAACAACACAATTCTTTGTGTGTATATCAGTGTGAGGACAATGCATGCATACCACTGCAGAGGCAGCAGAGGAAAACTTTCACAGCGGTTCTTGCCTTCCACCATGTTGAAGCAGGACCAAGTCTCTTGTTTCTGTTGGCTGCACTTTTTACACTAGGCTAGTAGCTTTGAGAGATTCTGGCCAATTCTTCCGCTATCTCTCACCTCAATAAAGGAGTGGTAGGATTTCAGTTGCATTCTGTGGAACCTCACTCTTTATGTGGCCTTGAGGGATATAGCTCAAATTGTCAGACTGGAGAATTTAGCACTTTTACCCTCTGATCCATCTCTTTAACCCTAAGATAACATTTTACTTCAGTTATCTCCAGTGCAATTGGCGAACTATTGAAGGTAGTGGTTTGCCTGGAAAAGCCTCTGGGAGGGGTGGAAGTGAGAAACTGGTCCTTGACTCACATTCTAGGAGCATCCCTGTAGGGATATTTAACCTGCACCCAGATTTTGATGTGTGTCCAAAATGAGGGAAGATTTAGTGAGTTTTATTCCTGAAATGTTGTTGTGGCTGGTTAGCTCTACTGTGTCCTGTTGGGCTACATGTTCTCTGATATATCCTGGAGAACAGGAACAACATCATTACCCCAGGGTGGAACTGGTTAAAATAAAATTATAATAAAAAGAAATCATCTACTTTTCAATGTGTTTCCCCTCACTAAGGAACTTTACTGGTGCCTTCAAATGGAGAACACATATTCCAGCAACCCTAACAGACAGGTTGTATTACTTCCCAGTTGAAGAGCACTATGGCCCACAGCCTTGGGAATTTTTCCAATTCCTGCCTAATAATTGACAGCGCTGGGAAGCAAGCAGGGCTCTGTATGCGCCTGTCTCTTAGCAGATCCTCCTGCTGCCTCCTCTGGATGCCAGAAAGAGTAACCCACTGTCCCTGTGACTTCTATGCTGACTAGTACACCTGATGAAATGTTCAGGCAAAGAATGGTCAGATTGAACATAGAATACAATTAAATTAAAAAGAAGAAGAATACATGAATTTCAGGGCAAATGTGGTTTTAGAAGCCTAGCCAACAGATAAAGAATGCAACTATCTCACAATCTACAGTAATTACTTTTTGTTTTTCCCAGGTAATAGTTATACAATTTCTAGTATTAGCCCATCACAACCACAACTCTCCTACTACCTGAGCAGGAAGTAACACAGGGAATATTTTTGTGATAATATATATCACAGATATATATCACAGATATGAATTAGTGCTGCACATATTTCATAATACATGGATTATATGTCTTGTTCCAACAAAATCCAATAATACAAATATTCTACAATTCTATAAAAAAATTCCTTCATCAGCTGGTCTCCTTCTCAAGGACATTCCAATCTTCTTTTGATGGGGAATGTACTTCTGTGTATGTTCATCTTATTGATTGTTGAATAAAGTACTGTTTGGCCAATGAGGCAGCAAGTTGGATGGGACTAGGAGTCAAAGAGGATTCTAGGAAATGTAGCAAAGAAGTGGTGATCCAGGCAGGAAGTGACATAGCAGAGAGACTCATATTTAATGAGGGATAAGCAGGGAAGTGGCTCCTTTTCCCCTCTGCTCTTCCTCAGATTCTCAATGTTATCCACCAGCAAGGGAGGACGCCAATGGAAGGTATCTAATAAGATAAGTCTTGTAAAATATATAGATTTATGATAGTTAAGACTGAGCTAACAGATGAGAATCCTAGTCATTGGCCAAGCAGCATTTGTGCATAATAGAAATCTCTATGTACTATTTGTGGCCCTAACTCAGGGCGGGCGGCTGGCGTAAATCGCACATATGGCGGTGAGGCTTAGCGGCTTTTGGTGGGAAAGATTTATGGAAACATTCTTTCTGCACAGATCTTCTGAATATTCTACAATCATAGGTTTAATTCTGTTAGGTGTTGAAATGAAACCTGGTGTGATTTCGTATGTTGACACACATTGTAATTCTTTAGGCTACAAGGCCCTATGTATTCTTCATGAATGAACCTTGTTAGGTTGTGATTCCCAAATACATTTCATGTTACATAGTTTGAACATGGAAGGAGCTAGGAAGCCTCTGTCATTGATACAAGCAAAAGTGAGAGGAAAAAAAATGAAAGGCAGCATTTCTGTCTTTGCTCAAAGGGAGGACTGACTATGTATCACAGACTCCTGTAGACAAGTGGGAGGGACAGATAGGTGAAGACAATGGAACCCCAGGAGCATATTACTCTACAATGCAGAATACATCCTGTGATCTACAGGATCCA